TATATGATAAAGTGTTTCTTTTTCTTTAGCATTGCACATTTTGCACTCCAGTTGTAGAGTAATTGCCACAATTTTAAAACAAAAATCTTGATCATATATTTTCCCGAGAGGCGGATCTGCATTAATGATTTCGTGTATTTGTAATTAGTAGGCATCAACAAATACTGGGGGATCTGATTATTGTTAAGGAAAAGGTTTAAATGTTCACTATAAGATGAGCTATGCAATGCTTTCCTGTCACCGTCCCGAAAATGTTGTTTATATTTATTTAATAACCTGTTATATTTGTTCTAATTATGGCTAAGTTGGTTCCATAAACTAGATTGCCTTTCCCAATAGTATCTAACAATGCTTTTAGCTGATAATACCAATTATATTTTGATAGAACAGGATTAGCTAAGTGAAATTTATTTCTTAGCTTTTCAAAATATATTTTAGGATATCTAAATTCCTCCATTTCCACAAGCTTAACCAACCAATTCAATGAACATTTCATAATATTGAAACCAATATGAGTAGACCCTGTTTCTAAATATATTAAAAAGTCTGGGGTTGTTTTACAAACCGAATATGTCCTTTTATAAAAATTTGTGTTGACCTTTTATAAGATCTCTATGTATCGGAGGCTCCATACCAAGGCACAAAGATGTATTAATGTTTATTATAGTACCTATTGTCGAGTTTGACTTTCTGTCTTAAGTTCTTGCGAAAACAAACCAGTCCTACAAAAGTGGACACCTAAATAATTGTATGTACTGACTGTATCAATCAGTTCTCTTTCCAAATATATACTATTATATTTCTTTGGGTGCCCCATAGCGAAATTTAAAATTTTCGTTTTATCAATATTCATTTAGAGCATTCATTTTTTTTTTAAGATCGGTATAGGAATCGGCAAAAATAGCCATGTCATCTGCAAATAAGAGCAACAGTATGTCAACACATCCGTTAATAGGTATACTTGACAGGTTACTTTTGCGAAAGTATTCCTCAATATCAGATAAGAAGAAATTAAACAGCATGAGACTCAGTATCCCTCCTTATAGCACACCGTTAGTAATTTTCAACTTTTGGGAAAGCCTTCCAGCGGTTCCTTTTATTTGTCTGTACGCATTATCATAAATTTTTCCCATAGCTCGAATTATTTTCTGGCTGAATATAATCTATATAAGCTAAATCTATAGAAAAAAAGTTTGTGCCATAGTAAGATGTGATTTATGGAGTCAAAAGTCAACAAAAAGAAAGAAAAGGTTAGACATCTCTTTTAAATTTTTTTAATTTGCCATTTTTAACTTTGTTTAGAGTCCAACCTATTTCCTCAGAAGATATATCTCCATGTAATAATGGATATCGACTATCGATAAAAAAATTATTGGATGTCAACCAAGGTGGATAGATCAGTCTAAAAAACATCTCTCACTTCTCTATAGGAAAGCTCGGTCTGAAAATGGTGCTGTCCCTAAATCGTCTTATGATACCCCAAAAAGTTGAGCTATCGTTAGTTGTTCCTAGAATTTCAATTGTATTTAAATTATATTTTATTTTTACAAAATGTTTATATTGTTTTTTTCAGTTTTAGAAAATAAAATAAGAATTCACCAGTAAAATTATTTTTCTTACATATAGAGAAACAATTCTTGAGCTCAGTTTTAAGTGCCTTGCATTCATTATCATACCAAGGTTAATTCCTATTAATGCCCTGTTTGTTAAATTCTGTTATACTTTTCATTATAGTAATTTCTTTAGACGTTCTGAAAACAGTGGATATAAAATTTTTGTATAATTGTTCAACAGTACAGGTTTTAAAGTTCACTATGATTAATGGAGAAATCAGTAAACTACTTGTAAATATTTCCATTATATTTTTACCCCATTTAATAAGGTTTCTATTTTCTATTTTTTTTATTCACGATAGACCCAGAGTAAACTTTTAATTTTAAAGGAAAATGATCAGAACTGGACAACACTAGTTTAACTCCAAAATCACATACTGATTCTAAGCCACTGATTTCACACCAAGCAAAATCTACGACACTTGATCCATTAGTGCTACAACAAGTATAATCTGGGTTCCCCGGACTGGCAGAAGTGTTGGTCCCTATGTTCATAATAGCCTGAAACCCCGTATTCTAGATATTTCATCCCCTTCCAATCATCCTCACATTGAATTCCTCTTCGCTGAAATTTCTTGTAAAGCACATCCTCTCCTTTATGTGGTCGTATATCGCCCTCCTTTGACTCCTTTTGACCCATCCTTCAAATCAACCTTGTACAATTATGTCCCTTTCTATAATAACATTATAATTTCCGGTGATCATAATACCAACCTTCTCACAGAATCCAACAACAAACGCTACTTGGAAAACCTCTTCTTCTCCCTCAACCTTTTTATTGTTCCTTTCGCTCCTACACACCATAATTGTTGGTCTGACTCCTGGCTGGACTTGCATATCATCGATTCAGAACAAAAACTCTTGTCCTGTTCTCAATTACCCGTTCCTTTCCTTCCCTCTCATGATCTCATCCAATCATCGTACGATATCTAAACTCCCACGTTTCTTCCTAAAACCATAACTTTCCGCAATCTTGACACCCTCACCCGTGATAAAATCCTACCTGACCTTGAAAAGCCAAACTAGAACGATATTTATTCTTGCACCTCTATTGATCATATGGTAGACATCCTCACTTCTAATCTTATCCATATTCTTGACATACATGCTCCTATCAAAACTTCAACTTTTTGTCACCAACCTGCTCCTTGGCAAGGCCGTAAAGTCCGTAAAAGAGAAGTGATTCAGCCTGTAGACGCTTCAGACGAACTCGACTAGCAGATGACTATCAAGTCTATAGGGTACTCCGTAACTTAACACCAACAACGATCAGGAAAGCGAAATCAAACTTCTTTCATGAAACCTTCTCTTCTGCTCCTGATTCTAAATCAATATGGCTAACCCTTCGTAAAATCTCTCTTTGTAAACCCTCTTCCTCACTGATCTACCCGGTTTCACCTGATGCACTAAATTCCTACTTCATATTTTCCACCACCAGCAACAGCTCACTCACCTCTTACCAATTTTCACCCTCATTTAACAGTGATAATTTCTATTTCTCCAACATTTCACCAAACGACCTTATTTCCTCTATAATGAAATCCCACACAAACCCCATCGGACTTTATGGAATACAGTCAGACCTATTAACAAAATTCCCAATCCTACTTCTCCTAAAGATTATCGCCCAATCTCCATTCTTTCTATCCTTTCTAAACCTCTGGAAAGAATAGCTCAATCCCAAATCTCTAAATTCCTTGTAAACTCAAAACTACTTGATCCTCTCCAATCTGGTATTCAGCCTGGCTTCTCCACACAATCCGCCCTACTAAAAATTACCAATGACTTACATACCGCAATGGACGAAAAAATGTTAACTGTGTTAATACTTCTCGACTTTTCCAAAGCTTTTGTCTCCTTAGACCACTCTATACTCTACACTAAATTAAAATCTCTATCCTTCTCCAACAGCTCTATCCTCTGGTTGCAGTCTTTCCTATCCGACAGAACTCAAGCAGTCAGCATTCCAAACCAACCCCTATCTTCCTTCCTTACATTGTCCTCTGGACTGGCCCAGGGTTCGAGTATTTCCCCTCTCCTTTTTAATTCCTACATAAATGATCTTTCCAAATCCATCTACCACTTTTCACATCATTTATCCGCTGATGACTCCCAAATCTATTTTTCCTTTCGTCCTACTAGTCGCGTTCGCCAATATTCAGGCAAACCTTGATAGGATTAGTGCCTGGGCAAGTCTGAATAATTTAAATCTAAATTCAATGAAAACTCAGGCCATTATTATAGGTTCCAGTTCTATTCTTAAATCCATCTCCTTCCTTCCTCCTTTAGTCATCAAGGATTATCCTATCACATTCAGTTCCTCTGTTAAAAACCTAGGAATCACCATAGACAAAAACGTATCCTGGAAACCGCATATCGCCCTCATCTCCCGTAAATCAATAGGTGCCCTTAAGCTATTTCATCACTCCCGCCAGCTACTCCCACAATCCATCCGCAAGCTCCTTGCATCCTCTCTTATTTTCCCCCACTTCGACTATGGCTGTGTGGTGTACGGAGGCATCCCGATGGTACTCGAGGATAGATTGAAGCGACTCATGAATACCTGCTTAAGATTTGTCTTCGGTACATCGAGGCGGTCTCATGTGTCCCACCTTTACGACGAGTTAAAATGGCTCTTCCATTCTTTCCGCAGACAATATTTCCTTGGATCTTTCCTATTCCAAACGATCAAAACCCGATACCTTTCCTACATCTACAGTCTCTTACAGTTTAAACCCGTGGTCCACTCCCAGAAAACAAGATCCCGGGTTTCCGACCTTTATATCCCTTCCCATAGAACTAAGACGTTTGAATATTCCTTTATTGCCTGATCCACTGCCTTCTGGAATTCCTTGCCATCTGAAATCCGCCATGCCTCTTCCTTGTCCTCATTTAATATCATCTTTACCAATTCCTTCTCACATCCCAAAATTACGTTATACAATGAAATAAATATTGCGAAACAGATTTTGACTGAGGTGAATGGTTGTTAAAATTGATTGAGTTTTAATTTTAAAAATCAACCCATGCTTATTTTATTTTGTTTTCTTTTCATTTAAATAATGTTTTTTTTATTTATTTTTTTTTTCAAAATGGTGTTATTTTTACTTGTTTTAATATAATTTTACTGAAGATACTATATATATTCTTTAATATTGACTAATTTAATTTTTGGCCAGATGTAGTTATTATTTTTTTTGTTCATATCTGTTATTCATAAGGGACCTTGTCCCAGAATAAAGTTTATTTTCTATCTATAATAATTGCCAGTTAGATCACTGGGAGTTCGGCCATTTAAATTAATATTCGGCCCTTTAATTTCACTATAAAGGAATTAAGTTCCATAAACTCAAAACGATAGCTATATTAATAACATTTAATACTTACAACATTTTGGACCTTCATCAGAACCATCATTACAGTCAATCTGACTGTCACATACCCATGAATTTGGTATACAGTTTCCTGTATTGCAGCGGAACTCATTAGTTTTACAAGTGAAAGCATTACAACTGCTTTCATCACTGCCATCGTTGCAGTCATTCATGCCATCACATTGTGCTACTTTGGAAACACATTCTCCTGATGTGCATTGGAATTCATCTTTAACACAAAAAAATATTATATAAATAAACAAATTTGTGGGTCAAGTCATTCATTATTTAAAATATATGAACTACAAATAAAAAACCTACAACAAAGAAAAAAAATTTCAAATTTATTTCCAATATATTCCAGTATAATTGTACATTATAAGATACATAGATCTATAGTTGTTCATAGCTTGCATTCAGACCAATCCCAACTTAAAATATAATATGTTTTATTTACTTCTGTTAAATTATTTTAAATTTAAAATATTGCTTGATTCAATTAATATTTTTTAAAGTTACTTTTAACACTGTACTTACTTCCAGTACAATTCCGAGTAGATTCACAATATTTTTCATCAGAACCGTCATTGCAGTCAACTTTAGAATCACATTTTTTAGATTTTTCAATACAACTAGAACCATCTAAGCAAGCAAGCTGGTCTGGTGAACAAATTATAGAACAATATTCTTCATCATCACCAAGCCTACAATCTGATCTACCATTACATCGTAGAGACTTTGAAATACATTCACCAGTGGTACATTTGTATTGTCCTTCTTTACAGGCAAGTAATTTTTGGCAGGTTTTTCTATCAAATCCAAGCTCCATTCCGTCAGGGCATGCACAAATCTTAAATATAAATTATTAATTGAATATTGATATAGTATTACCATATAGTAATAAATTTTTCATTAAATTTACAATGAACCAATCAGTCATCCACACAAGCTCCAATTAAAATTATGACCATCATATATTTTCTATCTTTAAATATTTAAATTATTAAAAAATAACAGAAATATATATTTTTTTAATTAAACTTTAAAATAGTTGTACATTTACATATAAGTAATATATTTAATGATAATCAATAATTAACATTAATTTATAATATATTTAATGTTAATCCATATAATTTTTTATTAGGTAATTAATTACATATCAGTGAATGTGTTTGTGAAATTTTAAAAAAAATCAGACAGTATTTAAATAGATATATGGTTACTATAGTAATCAATGTACCCCCATATGTGTAGAAATCAAACAGACATGACTGCAGTTTCCAAGGGCATTGCAAGCACTTGCTTCCTTCCTTAAACCTTTATTTAATCCAATGATTTTCATGTTATCAGTTTCTTCAAGCTTGTCTAAAAAATAAAAACACATTTATATACATCAATATAAATCAGTAAAAAACTTGCCAAGAAACAAAAATTACAATTAAATACTACACAGCCTTATGTTTCCAAAATGCAGGTAAAGAATAAAAAAAAAACACATCAACGTTTTGCTAATTCAGACATCATCTGGACAGAAAAGAAAAGAAATTGAAGATCACATCATCCAACCCCTTACTGGAAGGAATTTATGGCAACAAATCTGAGGAAGGTTACAATCAAACAGTTGATCGGAGGGGAGGGGGAGGGGGGGGAAAGGACAGAAGAAAAAACAAGAAATATCCAATCAAAATTCACAAATATGAAATGAAATGAAAAAAATAATTTTATTCTGGGACTGCAGTCCCCTAAGAATAATAACAGTGTTACAAATTTATAGGTATTAGTCTGGCTTAAAATAATAAAAAATACAAACTAATTAACTGCTTATTGTTATTGCAGTTGTGCAGTAGTTGAAATTATACAGTATACAGATACAAGTAATTTTAAATATTAGCGGAAGTTTGAATGTGGAGTAGGTGGTGGAACAGGAGTTGTTTTAATGAATATGTGAATGAGGATTGACATATGGAGGTAGGAAGAGAGTTCCAAAAGGAGGTAGCACGAATGATGAAGGATTTGCTGAAGGAAGTAGTTTTATGGGAGGGAATATATAAATCTATAGGTTGAGACCTAGTATTAAGAGAGTGGATAGAGCAGCGTAGAGTAAGAAGTTCCAGGATGTAGGGAGGGTTTTTGGTTCTGAGAACTTTGAAAAAGAAAATACCAAGGAGGAATTGTCCTCGGGGAGTAGGATAAAGTCACTTCAATGTCACTAATTATTCAAAAATTAAGAAGAATTTTTTTCTAACATATTTGTTTTGCTTTGGTTCTTTAACTTCTGCTGATTAGCTGTTTTTGATAAAAACCTAAATGCACTTCAGGATTCGGCAGGATCGAAAGTTTGACTTCCTCAGTCTCCAAAAATCGCTTTCATTCCTCCTGTGAGGAAGGGATGGTCTGCGTGAAAAGAGTACATACTGAAGGTATAGGGCATTGGCTATCCGAGAGGATGTCCCCAAGTAATACCTGTCCTAATGAGGTATGAATAGCTTTCAGTTGACCCTTAAGAAATAAAACAGGGTCACTTAAAACCTCACTGTACATCTCAGCACCCAGATGCAGATCAACTTTTCCTGGCGTATGAAATTGGGGGTCCGCAAGTTCAATTAAAGCAAATTTATTACGTACTTCTTGGGACACAGCAAATGAAGGCAAACTTTGATTGATGCAGGGCAATGATAAAATACTCTGGCTGAAAACTCATATGTATCCATATACGATCTCATCCAATTATCGTACGATATCCAAACTCCCACGTTTCTTCCTAAAACCATAACTTTCTGCAATCTTGACACCCTCACCCGTGATAAAATCCTACCTGACCTTGAAAAGCTAAACTAGAAAGATATTTATTCTTGCACCTCTATTGATCATATGGTAGATATCCTCACTTCTAATCTTATCCATATTCTTGACATACATGCTCCTATCAAAACTTCAACCTTTCGTCACCAACCTGCTCCTTGGCAAGGCAGCCCGTAAAATAGCCTGTAAAGAGACGTGAGGCAGCCCGTAGACGCTTCAGATGAACTCGACTAGCAGATGACTATCAAGTCTATAGGGTAGAATAGAATAGAATAGAAAAATAATTTTATTCTGGGACACAGTCCCTTGAGAATAACAAAATAGAACAAAATGTAAAGAAAGTATAAGGTAAACATTCTATATACAAAACAAACGAAACTACATACAATACAATTAATACTATGACAAGACACTTAAAGCTATTTGTACTGATAGACCAGTATACACTCTTAAGAAAATGACAAAGAATTAAAAAATAAAAATATAACAAATTCTCTATTAAAATCAGTTCGAATGGTTAGCAACTATCTGACTGTTTTTGGGATAGGAATTGGAATAGAAGGGTTGTGAATGTGGATATGGATGGAGAATGTCGAATTTTGATAGGGAGGGAATTCCAGAAATTGACAGAGCGAACAATAATGGAATTTTGGAATGAAGCAGATCTGTGAGAAGGCATGTAAAGGTTAGAAGGTTGAGATCTTGTGGACAGGGAATGGACTGAGGATTTGAACTGGAGAAGGTTGTAGGCGTAAGAAGGACGATGGTTGTTGATGATTTGGTAGAGGAACGTACCTAGGAAATATTGTCTTCGGAAGGAGGGGAAAAGCTACTTTAACTCAGCGTAGTGGTGAGAAACATGGGAGTATCTTGGGGCCCCGATCACAAATCTTACGCAGCTGTTCATTAGTCTTTTCAGTCTATCGCGGAGCTCCACAGAGAGGCCATCCTACACCACACAGCTATAGTCAAAGTGGGGGAAAATGAGAGAGGAAACTAGGAGTCTACGCATATGTTGAGGTAGGATATGGCGGAAGTGATGGAAAAGTTTGAGGGTGGAAATTGTCCGTCAAGAGATATGAGAAATATGGTGATTCCAAAAGAGGTTTTGATCAATGAAAAATCCTAAATTTTTAACAGAGGAGTAGAAGGAGATTGGCTGGTCATTAAGGTGAAGGATGGGAAAGTCTGTATGGGATCTAAGAAGGGGCTTGGAAGCAATGACAATGGCCTGAGTTTTGGCAGCATTCATTGTGAGATGACAAAAAGGATACTGGCAGTTGGGAAGAGGAGAGGAGGTTTTGTGCAAAGTCTATAATATAGAAATCTAGCCAAGTGTCGGATCTGCTAGTATGGTGAGTGGGAGAAAAAGGAATGATAAAGAGGGGAAGGGAGAAGAATAGGTCTTCTAGATAGGATTTGTCATTGGAGTTAGATAGGAAATTGGTATTGAGGTCACCTGAGATGATTATTCTGGGATAGAGGGGAATGAAATTCAATAGGGTAGCTTCAAAGGACGTGTGAAATGGAACAAGAGGAGGACGGTATACCACAGCGTAGAGGAGAGGAGAAGTATTACAAAGGATTTCAACTAATAGGTATTCAATTTGTGGGTGGTTGGAAGATGGGGATAAATCGAGGATTCCTTTATTAAACGACCTTATTTCCTCTATAATGAAATCCCACACAAACCACATCAGACTTGATGGAATACCAGTCAAACTGTTAAAATTATGCCTTCCCGAAGTAGTTCCAGTTTTCCTTTTCATATATAATTTTTCCCTCCAGAATTCAGTTTTTTCTACTGCTTGGAAAAAAGCATTAGTCAGACCTATTAACAAAATCCCCAATCCTACTTCTCCTAAAGATTATCGCCCAATCTCCATTCTTTCTATCCTTTCTAAACTTCTGGAAAGAATAGCTCAATCCCAAATCTCTAAATTCCTTGAAAACTCAAAACTACTTGATCCTTTCCAATCTGGTTTTCGGCCTGGCTTCTCCACACAATCTGCCCTACTAAAAATTACCAATGAATTACATACCGCAATGGACATACCGCAAGTGTTAATACTTCCCGACTTTTCCAAAGCTTTTGACTCCTTAGACCACTCTATACTCTACACTAAATTAAAAACTCTATCGATGTAGAGATGGTTGACCGTTGATATAATATGAGAAGGAGCTAATTGGGAGGTGCGGTCAAATAAATACTAAATTAAAATATAGCATTTATTTAATTTTTGCCGACGTTTCGACCCACTTTGCAGGTCGTCTTCAGGGCGTAGGATGTAGCACTGCGGGAGGCAGTTGAAACACTGAAGTGTATCTATCTATCTATCTACATTTCTATATCTAGTTGAACCCAACTTGAGTGGGCGGGGTGGCTAAATGGGCTAACGTGTGTCCACAGCACCGTCGTTGCCCGGCAACCTGATATATGAAAAATGATATCAAAATAGTCACGAGTTCGCGTCCCGGTGCCGAGGGAGTCTTCTAAATCCACGTCTACACTCCCTGGCCCGGGAAAACCCCCTTTGGCAATTCGCCAAGAGATGAGGTCCCATACAAGAAAAGCATAAATCAGACTTCTTTAGCAAGTCATAGCGACCGTTAACATCGGCATCTGAAAAAAAAACTGAGGGCAATTTATAATTTTATAGCTCAATTTACATACTGGGCATTCTAACTTAAATTTCTGCTTATCCAGTCAATTGTGATTGCTGGTTAAAAAGGTTTTTCACTGAACTTTAGCCTGGGTGGTTTTGGATGTAGAAGGCTCAGAACACATTTCTGCGACTTGAAATTGTTACCTAACAAAGTTGCAAAATTCTTCAAAGTTAGGAACTGTCTCTTTGCTGAGACCATATTCAGAAAGCTTCAAAAGTTGCAAGAATTATCAAGAGAAAATTATTTAAACCATATAATTTTGTTAAGATGGTAGGCCAAAATGATCCTTTTATTACTGTAGAGCTTTACTAATTTATCATAGACCAAGCTGTAATTTTCTGCGTTAAACTCAATTGAAGAAATGGCCTGTGAAGCAGGATGAACTAAAAGCGACTTGAGGTATGAAAACTTTACTATATCTGTGTAATGTTGATGATGAATTAAGGCATCAAATAATGATTTAAATGAAGAAAATTGTTCATACTGTCCAGAAAATTGAGTAATTTGTAAATCTGGCAATTTAGGATACGCTACTGGTTCAGACATGGATTGAGAAGAGGGAACTATGTGTTCAGCTTTATATTCCTTTAATCTTATATTCCTTCTCATTCCCTCACACATTGTCATCTAAAGGAGTAAATACAGGGAGATGTCTACTACAAGGTACCTCATTTGTTATCATGATATTTAATGAGACCAGGGCTTGGTGAACAATTTTAGCCAAGTTATTGTGTCTCATCAGATATTCTTTACCTGCCAATGCTTGACATCCCGACGAAATATGTTGGATTGACTTCACTGCATTTTTACATAAGGGACATCATGATATTTATACCAATATCATGATATTTAATGAGGCCAGGGCTTGGCGAACAATTTTAGCCAAGTTATTGTGT